TGTTTTCCCACGCACCAGCACAGTGTATCGACCCTCCCAGTGGCGGGACATTCCCCCCCCCCCCCCTGCCCTCGAGCTGTTGGTCGGCCTCTCTGACCATGATCGGACCCGCAGGCATACGTTAGCTGCAAACATCAGGACGACAAGGTGGTGGTGCACGACCGCGCCGGCGTCGTGTTCGCCTTCAACTTCCACACCAGCAAGTCCTTCACCGGCTACAAGGTGGCTGGCCGCCCCGCGTTGTCGCGTGCCGCTCCTGTCGCGTCCAGACGCCACCGCTTGGGGCTGGAGCTGTGCTCTGGGGTGGGGCGGTCGGTGACCTGACCTGCCGATCTCCCCGCCCGTCAACCGAGCGAACGCGCGGACGTAGCCCAGTTACAGCAAGTGCGATCTGTTTGGCAGTTCAGACCGGTCATCACAGATGGCTCTAGGTCTGCCGTGCGTTTGACAGACGTGCTGGCTACGCTGTTTTGTTAGCGTACGTTTTCAAATCGCGTTGTGTTTCCCCCTGTTCATGAATCACGCCTGCATGGATATCCCTGGGGTTTGCCAGATCTAGCGAGCTATCTTTCCATTCACCAGGTGGGCGTCGACGTGCCCGGATGTTACCAGATAGTGCTGGACACAGACCGGGCCGAGTTCGGCGGCCACAACAGGGTCGATCCCAGCACCAAGTTCTTCACGCTGGACGAGGGCTACTGCGGGTCGGCGCCACTCGATGCTGGTGAGTCGGCTGTCCGCAGCCAGCGGCGCCGCGCGCGCCAGGTGGCCCGACGTGTGGCAGACGTCACGTGCAGCCGTCAGCTGTCGGGAGTGCGGGATGATGTGATGACGGTAGCATGCGTCACGTTTTGTTGAACAGTGTTGTTTCAGTTGGAATGGTTGAACACGGTTGAAATGAAGGAATCGTGTGATACCCACCGACAATGCGGAATCTTTTTATGACAGTCATCTGGTCGCAGACGGCCGCACATTGTGTTTTATTGCGGGTTAGAGTATTCGGGTGTGTAATGTAGGCAGGGGGTGAAGTGAAGATGCTGAAGCGAGTGTTCCAAATTTGTATGGTGTTCTGAACTGAAATAGCCATCTTGAAGGTCTGCGCAGTTCACAGCCCTGCCCGTCTTAATACCTAAACCCGTCTAGTTTCGGGGGCGACACGCCCGCGAAGACGTGCAGACTATTTCAGGGAGGATATTCCAAGGCCACCCAGGCATTCATGACGCCATAATCACGCTATTCAAACTCTGCCATTCCAATAACCATGCGGTGATCAAGGCCAAGAAAATGTAATTGTCGAGTCCTTAATATCTGACGTTTGGGAGCACGAATTTTAATTTATAGCGGCCGTCAATTGGCTCTCAAACAGTGTTGTGCAAAGCACGATGACGTCATCAAACAAGGGTGCATGGAGGAATACATCTACTACACAAAGAAATTGTGCTGTGTAGAGCAGTCTTTTCCATTTCAGAGTATACCAGTGATTATAAGTTAGTTTGTTTCACCACATTTAATGCTTGATTCAACATCTTCAAATGGGGAACATTCCCTTAAAATTCATTCGTAATGGGTCGCAAAAGACAAACACTCAGCGTCGTGAATGTTCAGAATCCTGCAAGTGCCGACGCCCTCGGGAATGCGGCTTGTGATGTGATTTGTCTCCTCTCGGCCTGTGTGATGGGACCAACTGCCGTGATTCAGTATCCAGCTGCACCCCCAATCGTCTCATTGTCGCCACGTGTACCTTCCCAGTCACATCTGTCCCCCACTGTAGCCACATGTACCTTCCCAGTCACAACTGTCCCCCACTGTAGCCACGTGTACCTTCCCAGTCACAACTGTCCCCCACTGCAGCCACGTGTACCTTCCCAGTCACAACTGTCCCCCACTGTAGCCACGTGTACCTTCCCAGTCACAACTGTCCCCCACTGTAGCCACGTGTACCTTCCCAGTCACAGCTGTCCCCACTGTAGCCGACGTGTACCTTCCCAGTCACTCAGCTGTCTCCCACTGTAGCCACATGTGCCTTCCGTCACTTAACTGTCCCCCACTGTAGCTGCGTGTACCTTCCAACCACTCAAACTGTCCCTCACTGTGCGATGTGTACTTGCTTAAGCTCACCCCGATAATGTCCCTAAATGTCGTCACGTACCTCATGCCACTGCCCCACCACCACTCGAGTGTCCCTCTCTGCCGCCAGGCATACCTGCCCAGCCACCCGACCTCCCGCGCCTCCTCCGGGTGTACCTGCCTTGTCACCTGACCTTCCGCGCCTCCTCCAGGTGTACCTGCCCTGTCACCTGACCTCCCGTGCCTCCTCCAGGTGTACCTGCCCAGCCACCTGACCTCCGTGCCTCCTCCAGGTGTACCTGCCCAGCCACCCGACCTCCCCGCGCCTCCTTCAGGTGTACCTGTCCTGTCACCTGACCCTCCCGTGCCTCCTCCAGGTGCACCTGCCTGTCACCTGACCGCCCGCCCGCGCCCCCTCCAGGTGTACCTGCCCATCCACCTGACCTCCCGTGCCACCTCCAGGTGTACCTGCCCTGTCACCTGACCGCCCGCGCCTCCCTAGGTGTACCTGCCCTGTCACCTGACCTCCCGTGCCTCCTCTAGGTGTACATGTCCATCCACCTGACCTCCCGTGCCTTCTCCAGGTGTACCTGCCCTGTCACCTGACGCGCCCGCGCCTCCTCCGGGTGTGGCCTGCCCTGTCACCTGACCTCCCGTGCCCTCCTCCAGGTGTACCTGCCCTTTCACCTGACCGCCCGCCCGCCTCCTCCAGGTGTACCTGCCCTCTCACCTGACCGCCCGCGCCTCATCCAGGTGTACCTGCCCTGTCACCTGACCGCCCACGCCTCCTCCAGGTGTACCTGCCGCAGCCGCGCTGCGCTGGTGTTCGCCCGCTGCGACTGAGCTGCCAGCGGAGACGCCGTGTCTGGCGCGCCGCGGGAGCGCAGCCTAGGCGGAGACCGCCGCGTCTGGGCGCCGCGGGAACGCAGTCTGAGGCGGAGACGTCGCGTCTGGCGCGCGGGGAGTGCAGTCCTGAGCGGAGACGCCGCGTCTGGCGCCGCGGGAAACACAGCCTGAGGCGGAGACGGCCGCGTCTGGCGCCGCGGGAAAACGCAGCCGGAGGCGGAGACGTCGCGTCTGGCGCCGCGGGGAGTGCAGTCTGAGGCGGAGACGTCGCGTCTGGCGCCGCGGGAAACGCAGCCTGAGGCGGAGACGCCAGCGTCTGGCGCCGCAGGGAGTGCAGCCTGAGGCGGAGACGCCGCGTGACGCGCTGGAACGCGGCGTGGCAATACGACGAGCTGTGTGACGTGCCTGGCGCAGGCCGGCGCGCAAACGGAGGCCATGGCGGGCTGTGCGGGGATGGGGTAGTCGGGGGCGGTGCTCTAGCCGAGGTAGACGAGGTGTATGGCTCGAGGGACGCGGCAATCATGTTACTTTGTAGGGGTTGTGTGGTTTTATTATGTACCTGTATTGGTCAGATCTGAAACAGTAACAGTTTACGTTGTTGCGATATGACGCCCGACGCTTCGGACCCGCTAATAAGCCGCTCAGGTGCTTGTAATACTCTTGTAGGGTGGACCACGTCGTCGAATAAATTGTGGGCGGCATTCCGTTTTCTTTTGAGCTGCCTCATCATTTTTAGGATAGCAGGCTGCAAGATGAATCACGAACGTAACGCTCTGTAATCTCGATGTCACGGTCCCACCTCATGGCGATGGAGTCTCGCCACACGTATCGGGCCCGTGTTTACCTTTGATAGCATTGAGAACGGCATGACGGGCCGTGCTATCTGCGGAGGAGTCTCGCTCATGTCGCCATATCTGTGCAGTCAGTACGATAGTGCGACGGCGTGCTTCGAGCGTTGCCGGAGTACGGCTGCAGTTCCGTCCGGCGTCCGGGCCGGTGCTGTGCTGGTGACCGCCGACCGAGGATAGGGTGCGGTGCCGGAGCCGGGGACTCCCGTCTGGCATCCGGCGAGGGAGCCGCGACCGGACCCGTCAGGCGGCCGCGGGGGCAGGAAGGCCGCGGAATCGCACCTCGACGCTCGGCGCCGAGTGCTTTTAGCGGGTGGACTGTTGGGTAGCGGGACTTCACTACGCTACCTGCCGCTAATGCAGCGTCGAGAGGATAAGAGACTTCATGGGATAGTGAGTGATCGCTGGTTAGATCACGAACGGCAGTCCGCCAGATACTGAACAAGCCTCTGTTGGAAGAGTGGACGGGCGTCCGTCGCCTGTCCAGCCCCGCGTCTGCCGGCCGTCGTTGGCCGCGATGGAGCCGGCCGGCGAGCCGCCGCCGCTGCGGCCGAGCGGCCCGGCGCGGCCGCTCTGCTCTGTGCGGCCGGTGCCGGTGCGGCCGAGCGTCGCCGACCGCTCGGCAGACTCGCCCAGCGGCCTGCCGTTCAGCGGCCTGAGTCTGGCGGGCGGGCGCGGCGCGGATCGGCCGCGGTCAGGCCGGCGCCCTTCGCCCGGGGCCCGGCCTCCCCCCTCGTGTCGGCGGTGCTCGCGGTCCGCCCCGGCCCGCCCCGCGGCCCTCGACACCGGCCAGACAGCAGCAGCAGCAGCAGCTGCTGCTCGGCGCGGACAGGAGCGGCGCCGCCATCTGGCCGGGCGCCGGCGGCCGGCAGACAGCGCTGCCGCTCCTGCCGCCAGGCCCAGCAGACGGTCTGCGCCGGGCTCGCCTGGTCTTGCGGCCCCGGCGCCTGGGCGCAGGGTTCGCTGGCAACCGCTGGCAGCCGCAGTACCGCTACCCTCGGACCGGGCGTGGCTGTCGGAGCGGTGCTGGACGCCAGGGCTCCAGCCGAGGAGCTCACGAGGCCGTCCGACTACTGCGGGTACGCCACGCGCCCGCTCTGCTCCCGTCACGTGACGTTCCCTTCCCCAGTATCTAAACCTGATGTCGGAGTTCCCACAGTCGAGGTTGGTGGGTGCAGGCTCGGCGCAGAGCGCGCTGGCGGCGGTCCTGCGCCGTGACGCCGCGCTGCCCGTCGGACCATGCCGCGGACGGCGGCGCCGGCGACGGCCCGCTTGCTCTGCTCCACGCCGCGAACGGCGGAGCCTTCCTACCTGCAGCCGACCTTCTCCTCGCTGCAGAAGGTGCGGCACCCGACCGAGCGGCAGCTAGAGACGGCCGACCGGCTGCTGCACCGGCGCGGCTCCGGCGCCGACTCGAGTCGCCGCGGCTCGGCGGCGGACGGCGCGAGCCGGCGCGGCTCGGCGGCGGACGGCGCGCGCCGCAGCTCGGCCGGCCGCCGCGCCTCGGCCGGCCGCGCCGCCGCGCCTGTGGACGTCACCAACTGCTACGCCCGGCGGCCGGCGCCCGAGCCGGCCCGGTCTGCGCGTCAAGGTGGCCCGCAGCGACTTCGACATCCACGCCCACTTCGTGGACGGCGATGCGCCGGCGGCGGACGGGCAGCGGTCGGCGCTTAGAACCGCGGGCACGCCGCACCAGTACGCGGCCGCCGCCGGCGGTCTGGCCGGGCAGGTGGCGCCACCATACCGGCCGGCAGCCCGAGAGGCCACCGGGCAAGCCGGCGGCGCCGATCGACGGCCAGCCCCGCGGCAGCGGCCAGGGCAAGCCCGGTAAGTACAAGCGCCGAGCGTGACTTGGCGCGTGAGGTTACGCTACATTACGATCGACGCGTCGCTACGCACCAACAGCGCCACATCAGCTGCATAGCTCCGTTTTGGTCTGGTCTGGTTTGGATAAACGCCCTTTCGGCCCGTAATGACCATTTCAGGGCTATGGTATGAAGAAGAGCGGGCAATGGTGGGGCTAACCTGCATGCACCTGGGAGTCCTCCGCCGAACCTCAGGCCGCACAGGGGTTCACGTACGGGGTGTACTCGGCGCTCGGACAGGGTGCGGTCACTGACTGGGGTGCCGGCCACTGGGCCACTCATGGCTGTTGCATGTAGCTTACCCGGAACGGGGTGTCACGATGGTGCAGGATGAAGCGAGAACGAGGACAGGAGGGTGAATGCCACATCCTTGTGTAGGCGGGGGGCCGCGTGGCACGTGCTGATTCTCTGCAGGCGCCTGTTTTCGCTCCGCTGCCAGCTCCAGGTGGGGACCGAAACTCTGGCCCTGTCACTCGGGGCAGCACCAGTGGTGAACGCAATAAACAATACTAGGGTAGAAACTAAATGAAAACTATTACAGCGATGGCGTGCATCCATGTTATATTTAATATCAGTCAAGGAAACTTAACGTATTACGTTACAACAAATGAACAATGGGAAAGCACTTAACGCTCAAATCAAGAACAACGGCAACGGACCATCACTACAACACATTACACGAGACTATACCTGTGCAGCCTATTGATCATGCATGGTAGATCAGTTATAATTGCAAAACTTGTCATACCAAGCGCAGCAAGAGCACCAGGTGCTCTCAGCTTGAATGAAGACCAGATGGAGACCCAGGTTAGCGCAAAGCCCCACCGATGATACCTGTACCAATAGCACATGGTGTGAAATCAGAGGTAGTTCTCTACTGGTCCTCGGGTGTGTGCGTTACTAATGTCTCCAAAGAAACCGTCTTGTATGTGGTCATCAGTCCGCGCCAACAGCGCCGGCTGCCTGGTCCGGCCCGTCCGCCCGGCCTGGTCCGGATGTCTGGTCCGGTCCGGATGCCTGGTCCGGCCCGTCTGCCCGGTCTGCTCCAGATGCCTGGTCCGGTCCATCTGCCCGGTTCGGTCCGGATGTCTGGTCCGGTCCGGATGTCCGGTCCGGTCCGGATGCCCGGTTCGGTCCGGATGTCTGGTCCGGTTCGGATGCCTGGTTCGGTCCGGATGGCCAGATTCAGTCCCGATGTCCGCTCATGGATGCCCGGTCTGGTTCAGATGTCCGGTCTGGTCCGGATGCCCGGTCTTGTCCGGATGCCCGGTCCGGTCCGGATGCCCGGTCCGGTCCGGATGACTGGTTTGGGTCCGGATGTCCGGTCCGGTCCGGATGTCTGGTTCTGGTCCGGATGCCCGGTCCGGTCCGGATGCCCGGTCCGGTCCGGATGTCTGGTCCGGTCCGGACGCCCGGTCTGATCCGGTTTCAGCCATCCTGACGCGTCATTCACACTAATTCACATTCGCGTCACATTCATTCATTTATATCAGCATCTGGGTGGGCTAGTGAAGCGCTCCCAGCTGTCCTCGCTTTCATTCCCAATATCAAGGAAAACAAGGTCCGTGGCCTGCGATAATGGCTTCACACACTTTGCGCCCCTAATTTTGCCTCGCTTTATACCTGCCGGCGCGGGGGAAGCAACACATAAGCGCAACCATGCGCTGCAACCGTTACAGCGCCGACACACGTTCACACGCGCTCGGGACTCGACATGACAGGGACCAGGTGGTTCCGCCGCCGGTGCGCTCGTACCCCAGTTTCCGCATTTCTCGCTCGTCAAACCGGACCGGGAGGCTACGGATCGGTGTTTGCGCGGTGCGGTCCGACCGACGAGTCGCGCCGAGGGGTGTGCCGCGAGAAGGGGGCCGTCAGCGGCGGGTGGTCCCGCCAGCCGTCCGACCCGAGTCAGGCACGGCTGCAGGCGTGGAGACCCGGCAATCCGTCACTGCTCGGAGCAGCCCGGGCCACGCGGGGGCCGTCGCCCGACGGCACGCCGCTCTGGGTTAGCGGCCGGCGCCGCCCTGCCGTCGAGGTCCGACGACGGTCCCCGATCGCGGCGGTAGGGCTCTGGCAGAGGTCTGCTCTGCACCAGTAATGCTAAATTTCCACACCAGACGAGCAGCAGGGACGCTCGTAGAGCATAGACGGAATTCGTAGATGCACTTTAAAGACCTGACAGATTTTTGGTCAGAAATCTGAATATTACTGGTATGCACATCCCAGAAGCGATCCAGGGAATATTGGCCTGCAACGTGCGAAGGTCGTTTCGCCAGCGCTGGGCCAGGGTCGCCATTTCGTCAAGCGCTGGGCCAGGGTCGCCATTTCGTCAGCGCTGGGGCCAAAGTCGCCATTTCGCCAGCGCTGGGCCAGGGTCGCCAGCGACCTTTGATTGTCAACGGCGTGTGCTACATGGTGGACGACAGAGAGGTGAACTTGGGGTGGGTTCTTCTGGGGCGAAGTCAATGCCATTGCAGCATCGCCTCCCAGATCGGGGATCATTACAGTTGGCGACAAAAGACATGACTCGGTTTTCGAAGCGGGGCAGATGAAAACAGGCATTTCGTCTGCGGTAATCATATGTGGGACTGCTTTGGGGCATAAGACACCTCCATGTGGCAGACGGTATTCAAAGCGATGCATGTCCTGCAAAAAGTACAAGGCAGCCGAGGATACAGCCAAAAACGCATCGATTTTTTAGAACGTGTTCCATCTGCGACAACAGCATCCAATAACAGGACACATTTTGGCCATCAAGCATGCTCTTGGGAGGGATGCACTTATATTTGTTGACCATGGTAGATAGGACCTTGATAGAAAAGGCAAGCACATTTACTGTGCTTAATGTTTTGAAACCAACCATGTTTCGTCACATCTCCCACGGCTATTACTCTTCATATTCACGTTTAGCGTATCAAACAGACTGCTAAAACAAGAGGCGTGCTCTTAAAAACAGACCTACAATTTTCCAAAACCTTATCGGGTATTATAATGATGTTTCGAAACATCCTAAAACATTTTAAGCATTTACCACCGAGGGCACATGTCAACAAGTCACACATACAAAACAATGTAGCTAAACCGACTTGACTGGGCAGACGTCGTCTGTTACGAATCTGTTTATAAGTCATCTGCTCAAGTCATCAGGTGGCGCACCCGCGTATCCATTAATGGTTGCTGACGTGGCCGTCCCAGTGGATAACAAACTGAGGCAGGAGACGGTATTTGTAAAGGGGCGCTTTCAAGATGTCAGGTACGATTAGGTTGGTTGGGTAGAGGTGCGAGACAGGATGTCGGAGAGGTTCCTGCAGTCTGATGAATGTCAGCCGTGGAAAATGAAAGGGCCAATATGAACTGACTATAGGTCAGTTAAAGCGTTGTGCCAGAAACGCTGTCGCCACGTGTCGCTGGAAAACAACATGGCTGAAGTTCAACATGAACAAAACAACATGGCAAAAGCTGAAGTTCCATCAGAAAAGAAACGATATAGGAAAGAGGTGAAAAAGAGCATGGTGTAAAATTTGAACCTCTGTTATAGAAGAAACGACGTGGACGGGATACATTTTTCAGACAAGTTACGGTTCTTCTGACCCAAAGAGAAAGGACCGAGGCGCGATGCTTAAATGACTAACTATGCATTCATTTCGTCGTTTACGGAAAGCACATATACTGTAAATATGCATAAGTAAATGTACATGCAAAAGTTTTCTACGTTCTGGAACCAGCACGCTATCACAAAACATAAACAAACAAGCATCATCCATATTTTGCTTATTCCGAAAATTGCGAAATCTTTATGCACATACAACTACAATGGGAGCAATTTTACATTGACAAGTATCAGTGATTCCCGTCTCTAGAGAGACAACATTCGAAAAGAGCCATGTGACTCAGTCATCAGCATTCTGAGAACGATTTACTCCTATAACCAGGGTCAAGGTACTTTTACCTATTCTGTTTATTCCTGAGTCGAGAATCACTGTCATTGGTCAGAGGACATTTTCTCAGTGGATACATAGCTGTATCCTATCATTGCATAAACTTTTAATCGTCCACAGTGAAATGGACATTAAATGTGCCTTATTCTTAAAGGGAGAATACCACAATTGTGTTTTTACTTATCTTTAAATCAATCGCGTTCGATTTAATCGGTAACATCAGTTTCCTCCTCCTCAAAATCCATCTGAAGAGCCCAGAATTTCTATCGAATTCCAATTCGAAATTTGATTCAAAATTCCCCTCCTCACCACTAAGAGAAGGAGACATTTGAGTTGTCCTGCCTTCTAAAATGTTTGTATTCTGCAATGTTTCCAAAACACACATTTGTCAACATGCTTGTAAAACTAATACCATGAAGCTGGAAACACACTGCTTAGACAAAACTATATGTGAACACGAGGCTACCACCCCACGAGTTCAACAAAACGCTAACCTATTGCTCTGTTTTCTCTCCTGTGGCACTTAGCGCAGTGCTTTCTTTTCGAAGCGCATTTTGGTTTCGGGAAACAGACTACCACATGGTCTATAGTAACACGCTGGTTCGAACATCGACCAATGTAGAGTATCGCATGGTCTAAAGTGACATACTGGTTCAAACTTCAACGAATGGGTTTCTGGGTAACTAGCCCTGTCCGCCCGCCACTCCAATGAGAAACCTCCATTTGCGCTGGCGTTATTCATACCAATAGGTGTGGCATTTTTAACCCCGCAGGCACGCAATCTGCGGGTTAAAACAGCTCAGAAGTGATACCCCTAACCCGTGACAGCTGACAACGGCTCTCAGCAGATTCTGCCGTCGTCATGGCGACGGCGGTTGAAATGACAACGACAGTCGCGACAACTGCATTTGTTGCGG